TCTCATGGAACTCCATGGTTTCAATTTCCTACCACTTTGAGAGCCCAAGGTGGGAGGATCACTTGAGGCCAGGAGTTTGAGATGAGACCAAGTAAGAGTGAGACCCCATCTGTACAAAACACAGAAAAATTAGCCAGGTGTGGTGGCACACACCTGTCATCCCGGCTAGTTGAGAGGCTGATGCAGGAGGATCACTGTACCCCAGGAGTTTGCAGTGGGCTATAATGACGCCACTGCAATCTAGCCCAGGAGACAGAGCAAGAAAGACTCTGTCTCAAAAAGAAAAAGAAAAAATTGATCATCTCAACCTATTGACTGTACCTGGATGGTTTTATCTATCCACGCCTGGCAGAAGTGGCCAAGCCAGGGCCCCTCTCTCCCACCCATATCTTCACAGTCGTCCACGCCTGCAACAGTGGATTGCCCATCCCACACTGAGGGGTTTCTGGGACACGACACTTGAAGTGCAAAACCAGGATGAAAAGGTCACCACACCTACAAACCAAACTCAGACTGGCGTCTCTACTTGTGTATGCGCATCTGAGACTTTTCAAACTCAAGATTTCAGCAGGTTTCTTAAGCTCAGCCCTCCTGTCATTTGGAGCGAGACGATCCTGTACTATAGGGACTGTCATAGCTCAGGTTGCAATAACAAGGTACCATTAGTGAGTGGTTTAAACAACAGAAGTTTATTTTCTCAGAGTTCTGGATTCTGGGAAATCCAAACTCAAGATACGAGCCAAACCAGTTCCTGCAAGAAGACTCCTTGTGGCCTACAGACAGCGGTCTTCCGTGACCTCACACTGCCTTTCTTTGGTACTTGCACATCTTCCACTTCTTATGAGCCCACCGATCCTATTATATGAGGGTCCCACCCTTATGAGCTCATTTAACCTTAATTACCTCCTAAAAGCCTAATTTCCAGATAGTCGCATTGGGGATTAGGGCTTCAACATAGAATTTTTTTCTTTTGAGACAAACTCTCACTCTGTCTCCCAGGCTGGAGTGCCATGGCATCATCATAGCTCACTGCAGCCTCAAACTCCTGGGCTCAAACAAGCCTCCTGCATCACCCTCCAAGTACCTGCGACTACAGGTGTGCCAGCACGCCAGGCTAATTTTTTGTAGAGATGAGGTCACACCTCTTGCTCAGGCTGGTCTTGAACTCCTGACCCCCAGAGATCCTCCCGCCTTGGCTTCCCAGAGTACTAGGATTACAGGCGTGAGCCACCGCGCCTGGCCCCTCAACATGGAGTTCTGACAGGACACAATTCAGCCCACAGCGGGGGCTGTCCTGTACCTTGTATGATGTTTAGCAGCATCCCTGGGCTCCACCCATAGATGCCGCTGGTCTTCCCCAAACCCCACTGCAACGCCTGACAATCAAAAACACCTGTGGACATGGCCAAAATGACCCCTTGGGGGGCAAAATCACCCCCAGGTGAGAACCATTGGCTTAGCAGTTTATAACTAGGGTGACAGGAGTTGAGTGTGATGGGAGCTGTGTGAGATTTGACCGTCAGTTAGCAGCAGGGTGACAGCTGAGAAGGGGCACGGTGTAAAGTGCGGTAGCACCCCAGAATGCAGCAGCTGCAGGGGCCGGTGGCGGGCAGGGGCTTGGGGCAACGGCAGGAAGCCCAGTGCGGCTGGGGCAGAGTGGGCGCGGGGAGGGTGAGCAAAGTGGGCACTGAGCACCTTTGCCAGGATTGTTTTCTCTCTTGTCATTGAGAGAACGTCATTCCATTTCTCTAAAAATGGGCGTGGCTCACCCTAAGCTCAGTTTGCAGAATTGCCTTGGACTTGTAACCCTGCCTTTGTCCCCAAACTGAAGGGCCCAGGGTGGTCGTTATTTTCTAGATGAGGTCGTGTCCCTCAGCTTTGGCACCACTGCCACTGGGAGCTGGGGACTGGTGGGGCTGTCCTGGACGTAGGAGGTGGAGCACCATCGCTGGCACGTAGAAGGTGGAGCACCAACTCACTCATTGCCTGCACAGTTGTGACACCAAAAATGACGCCAGACATCGCCAAGTGGCCCTTGGGGTGGAGAGCAGTCACCTCTGGTTGAGAACCACTAACAACAGGTCCCGGAGCATAGCCCGGGTGCCAGAACAGGACCTAAGCAAGTGCCGAGATGCAAGAGGACCAGAGGGGACCTGAGAAGGGAGGTGGGGGCAGTGAATTTGCTAGAGATGACAGATCCCAGCCTAGCCCTGACAGATGGTCCCATGAGCCCTTCTCACCTGTCATCTGCCCCAGGGGCGTCACTGAGCTCTGACCAGGGTCTACCCAGATCCGCCTCTGAGGTGCACCTTGTACCTGCGCCTGTGGGCAGTGGTGGGCTCTATGCCAAGGAAGAAGGTGCCCCCAGCCTGTGACGGACTGTCCTGCTTCCGGTGGCCCCAGACTCATGGTCACAGAACCCTTACTTGGAAGCAGTGGATTGGGCTGAACTGGGAGAAGAATTCTGGAGAACATTCCTGGGAAGAAGGATCAAACCCGAATGGTCTCTGGGATCAGTTCCGTAGCATCACCCCTACAAAGCCTGTCAGAGAACCGCCAATGTGTCATCCCCAAATGTGAGTTAAGTGAGGAGAGGGCTGCACAATGGGGAGCTCGGGGGAGGGGTTCGGCCTGGGTGCTCCAGCCCCTACACAGCCCTCAAAGAGAATCCCTGATGAGATCAGCCAAAATTTCAGGTTCCTTTCCCCTCTGGGTGCAATACCACCCTCCAACTTCTCTCTGAGACTCCAAGGCTGAGCAGGGCAGGGAAGGAGATGCGATTCTGCGACCACGCGAGCCCCTGATCCCTGCAGAGCTGGTCTACAAAGGGGTCGGTCCTGTGAGCCCAGGTGAGGACACAGGATGTGGGGAAAGAGGTCCATCTGACACCACGAGGCTCAGGTCCAACAGCTGCTCTCTTGCAGGGGGTGAGGAGAAAGAAGTGAGTTTCTCCTCCTAGGTCTTTTTTGAGACAGAGTCTCACTTTGTTGCTCAGGCTAGAGTGAGTGCCGTGGCTGCAGCCTAGCTCACAGCAACCTCAATCTCCTGGGCTCAAGCGATCCTCCTACCTCAGCCTCCCAAGTAGCTGGGACTACAGGCATGCGCCACCATGCCCGGCTAATTTTTTCTCTATATATTTTTAGTTGATCAATTAATTTTTGTATTTTTAGTAGAGATGGGGTCTCGCTCTTGCTCAGGCTGGTTTCAAACTCTTGACCTTGAGCGATCCTCCCGCCTCAGCCTCCCAGAGTGCTAGGAGTACAGGCGTGAGCCACCGCGCCCGGCCCTAGGTCTTTCTTTACCCAGCACGGAGACTGAGGAGAGGTACAACATCAGGAGGATATTTCAGACCAGCCACCTCACTTGCCTTCCATCCATGGCAAAGTTTCCAGTCTTACAATGATTGGCATTTAGGGCCAAATTATTCTGCTGTGGAGGCTGTCGTGTGCCTTGCAGGACATTTACTGGCATCTCTGGTTTCCACCCAATAGAGGTTTATAGCAAAGCCAGTGTGATCACAAAAAAAAAAAAAAAAAAAAAATCTGAGTAGTCAAATCCACAGACACAAAAAAGTTAGGGGTTTCTAGGGCTGGGGTGTGGATACAGAGTAACTGCTTGGTGGATGGGATTTCCTTTTGAAAGCAGAATTGATGGTTTCACAACATTGTAAATGCTAAATGTCACTGGGTTGCTCTCTAAAAGAGTTAAAAAGGACAGTTTGTTATTTTGCCACAATGAATGTCTCTCAACATTGCCAAGTGTCGCCAGTGGGCAAAACTGGCACCAACTGAGGGCCATTGTCTTATTCTATGATGATGGATAGAGTTTCTAAAATTCAGCGTTGGCCAGGTGGTGGCTTATGCCTATAATCCTAGCACTCTGGGAGGCCAAGGCAGGAGGATCACTTGAGCTCAGGAGTTCAAGACCAGCCTGAACAACAGCGAGATGCCGCCCCTGCTAAAAATAGAAAAAAATTAGCCAGGCATGGCCTGTAGTCCCAGCTACTCGGGAGGCTGAGGCAGAAGGATCACTCAAGCCCAGGAATTTGAGGTTGCTGTGAGGTAGGCTGATGCTATAGCACTCTAACCCAAGCAACAGAGTGAGACTATCTCAAAAAGATAAAATAAAATTCAGTGCTATTGAAATTTGGGGCCAGGGCACTGTTGTGGGGGGCTGTCCTGTACCTTGTGGGTCTCTACCCACCAGATGCCAGGAGCACCCCCCATGTTGACTGTAGTAAATATCCCATGGGTGGCAAAATCACTCCCATTAGCACTGATCTACGAGGCAATAAACTATGCCATTTTCCCCACATTCCATAAGATCTTTAAGTTTTTGCACAAAGTGAGCTGCAAGACACATCACAAGCTTTACAATCTGAATGCTGTTTTCAATTCTTGGCCTTTTTGGGGGGAGACTGCACCGTATCAAGCCACTGAGTCCCCTAAAGTCCTGCGTTTCCTTATTTATGAGATAAAATGATTGTTTGGGAATAAAACACTTCAGCAAAATTTAAAATATATTTAAAATATACAGCAGAGTCTGACCCAGACGTTTTCAATCACAACTTCCCTCCGTTGTGTATCTTCGTTCTTAACATACATCCTACCCTTGAGCTTGGTACCCAAGGGGAACCCTAATTGATTCGGCCCCACCCCAGTGACTTGACCAATTTATCTGATTCACACCCAATTTCTCCACCATGTTTTCCATCGATGTCAATTATAGATCTTTGTCTAAACCTCCTGCCCCTAAATATTGTTACCCAAAGGCCTAATGTCAGCTAAGTGTACACTAAATACCACAGTCATCTTGAGCATTTGAGAATTATCTTGTAATTAAGATAAATTAGGTCCTTCCTAGTATCAACGCCTGGTTGAGTTCAGGCACTAGATACAAAGTATGAAGTTTACTCCCCGTTTGCTCTCGGGCATGATAATAAAGGCCACTCCAAAAATGCTTTAATTCTTTATTACCCTTGTGAGCGATAACATGTGATACAAAATGGGTATGTGACTTGTGCAGAATATCCCCTCTAAACCTCAGAGAAACACCCGTGTTAAATCCTACACGTTGACACCTTACGTAGTGATTTACAGTTGATTTTCACAAACAAGAAGTCTCACAAAGAGATGGCATTCTTCCCCTTCAGACGTGCAATTCACAGAGAGAATGGTCCCAGGGTGCTCAGGGAAGGTAGTCAACAGCATGACAGTCTAGTTGTCCTGGCACCATTATATTCAATTGCCAATCTGGGATTGACTTCTTTTATTTCCTCCAAGAGCTTCTGGATTTTCCAATCATAATCATTTGCCTTCAACCTAGAGAATCAGAACATAAAGTGCCCAAAAATCTGTTTCAGGGCATTCAAACCAGCAAGTTTTTTGTTGTTGTTTTGGGGGGTTTTTTTGTATTGTTTTGTTTTTGAGAATACAGACCCCAAAATTAGGGATCTGTCTTTTGTATGACACCTCTATGGATATCAGACTAAAGTCTGCAAGAACATTGTAATGGGCTCACCACGGCTTCCGTGGTTTCTATAGTTACCAGTATCTAGGGTGAGCTCTAGTCTGTGGTTTACCTCTTCAAACGTCAACCCTCCCAGCAATTTCTTGGACCTGACTTGAATAGGACAGATAAGCTGAACACACATGAGAAGAGTGTGGCTCATCTAAATCAGATTAGATTACTTCTTCAGGAAATGGGTTGTCCCTCATAAATGTTAACGTGATCTCCAAGGTAAACAAGAGCAAACTTAGATACAATGTAGCTACAATACGTGTTGAAATGGGGTGGTGGTGGGTGATGGAGGAAACAAGATAGGACAGAAAGAAAACCAAAACGTGATGAGAGATTAGTCATCACAGTTCTTGGTGGCATTACAGGTCTTGGTCCTGCTGGCAAGAGAAGTGTGAAGCTATCTTGCTCAAGTTTTGTGACATACCCATAAAACCTAAACCAGTTTAAATGGGTATTATATCTACAACTAAAATATCCTTGAATAAGTTGAATACCTATAGTATCACACTGACTACTACTTTGTTTTGGTTTGTGGGACAGGATCTCACTCTGTCACCTGGGCTAGAGTACAGTAGAGTCATAGAGCCCACTGCAACCTCACACACCCAGGCTCCAGTGATCTGCCAGTGATCTGCCTGCCTCAGCCTCCCAAGTAGCTGGGACTACAGGTGCATATCACTATGCCTGTCTAAATTTTTTCTTTTTTTTTTTTTGGTAGAGATGGGGTCTCACTATGTTCTTCAGGCTGATCTTGAACTGCAGACTCAAGCAATCTTCCTGCTTTGGCCTCCCAAAGTGCAATAAGCATGAGCCACCACAGCAGGCTGATTATATCCCTTGAGCAAATATGTGTGTGGATCTATTCATGAATAATTTTTGGTAGTAATAGGGAATCAACACAACACCTCCCAATACCAAATCACTACCTTAATTTTACCCAGAAATGAAGTGATAATAGATCAGATGGTATGTAAAGGACTAGGTCATGGGTCAGCAAACTACAGCCTACAGGCCAAATCCAGCCTACCACCAGTTTTTGTAAATAAAGCTGGAATGAAACTCAGCCACTCATTTATGTATTTTACATGGCTGCCTTTGCTCTGCAGAGTAGCCAAGACAGAGCCTATTTTTATGTACTGCCTGGTCATTTATGGAAACGCATGGTGGCGAGTGTCTGTAACCCCAGCTACTTGGGAGGCTGAGGAGGCAGGATCACTGGAGCCCAGGAGTTTACAGCCAGCCTGGGCAATATAGTGAGTCCCCATCTTTAAATATATAAAGTGTACCTATTCATCCAGAATATTGAGTTTAGATATATATTGCTAGAAAAGTAAGAAGTGATATTAGAGTTCTTTGGTTAAAAGCAAGAAGAAACTAAAGACAGATTGCTTAAATTATCAAAGAGACACAGATGTTTCATACAATTAACGGAATATCTATATGACCAGCTTCTGATAAGCTGAGGCCAGGGCAGTGCTGGGGATACCAAAAACGGGAACTACTTATTCTCTTTTGGAGATGACATGTTTGTGCCTGTGTGTGGGAGCACATGCGTACATGCATGCACTCTGGGATGGTCTAAGCTGCCAGCATACCCAGTATTGCATGTTGTGGGGAATGCTGGATAATAATCAATTCAAAAAGAATTTTAGAGAAGTATCTAATAAAAAAAATCCCCTAAGCTAGAGTATGCTACTGCTACTGAAAGATGCTATAAGTTGATTCCTGTAAGGTATGCACCGCACCCACCCCCCAAAAAAACTATTCTCTGCCTGAGCAACTCACCATGCGAAACAAAAAAGGCCATACCTGAGTGTCTTCAAGGGTCCATTCTTTTGTTTTAAAGCCTCAAGGAGCACAGTTACTCCACTATTCCCCAGATTATTCTGGCTTAGGTCCAGAGTTTCCAGCTTCTGGTTGCTAATGAGAGCAGATGCAAGATCCTGACAAGAGAAAGGTGGGATGGAGCAGCACCAGAGCCTGTTGAGAAAGAACACAGAAACCCACTCAGTCATTGAGCAAGTATAGTATTACCAAACACAGTCTTACTTGCCGGGGATCTAGTAATGAGGAAATGAAGGAAAAAGAAAAAAAAAAAAAAAAAGAACACCAATCTTTCTTCTCACAGAGCTTACTTTAGTGACAACAGACATCAGGACATGTTATATGTAAGACAGTGGATGATGGTATTGAGACAAAACAGGATAGAGGTAAGCCAACTGGAGCAGGACTGGGTAGATTTTAATTATGGTAGCCAGTGGATTCTTCATTGGGAAAGTGTTATAAGAGGGGGGGAGGGGGAAACTAAAGGTAGATAGTGAACCACTATGATAATTAGGGGAAGGAACCTTACAGCCAAAAGAGTGAACCAGTGGCAAAGTTGAAAAAGTTTGGCTCATAACAAGAGGATTTCATAAGACCCTGTAGGCTACAGGGACCTTTTGAGTCTTCAGAAATAAGGTCCTATGGTCTGACTCGCATCTTTAAAAGGTACCTTGGGGTGAAAGAAACTTCAAGAAATCAAGGGCAGAAATTTGCAGACCAGTTCAAAGACTATGAACAATCCACATGAGAGTTAGAGGCAGATGAGAGTGTTAGCAGTGGAAAGGTAGCTGGTCAGATTCCAGCTATCTGGAAGGAGGGACCTAAAGATGGTTTGAATGTGAGTTATGAAATAAAGGAAGTAGAGGATTAGAAGGCTTAGAATCAATCAATGACTAGGATTAGATTGTTTTTGTAGACCTTATTACTGAGGGTTGAGTTAATCACACTTAGTAAAGCATGAAATATTATCATTACCTCTATTCCATTCCTCGTCTTGTCTTGCCAGAGCCCCTTTGAGACTGAAAGGTACCTTTGCCAGTGGAAGGCAGTGGGAAGGTTCTATTTAGGGTAGACACAGGTCATGCTAGCATATGTATAACTCCCCTCTCCAGAAGTAATCAACCTGGAGCATGTCTGGCCAAGAATTTTAAAGAGTTGCCCAGAACAACCAGAAGAAAAAACAAAAGCACCCTGGTGTTTTGGGGGTTTTTGTTTGTTTGTTTGTTTGTTTGTTTTCCTCGTCTCTACAGCAAAGCTAAGGAAGTAATTACATTTTCCAGACTGTCTTTCTATTAGGCTTCTAATTGCAAAGTAGGTTTCACCCATGAGATGCATTTGACAGACTTGGAAGAGGAGTGCGGCCGAGCTCACGATCCCATTTCTGGAGCCACTGCACTCCCCAGGGGGGTATCCCAGGGGACTGAGCTGGATAGGCCCACTGCCTCCTGATCACTGGATCCCAGCACAAACTTCGTGTTCCTGAAACCCTCACTGGAGGCCATCCCGCCTACATCCCACCTTTGCAACCTTTGGAAACACCCAGTTACCTATACTCAATTTCTAGAGGGGTTTTCTCCTAAAATTGGATAAGGAGTGATATTACCACAGCTTAAGATATTTTAGAATATAGAAATTAAAGATTTCCAAATACTTTAAAGATGAGCAAAAGCGCTTACCCCAGGAATTTTAGGTTACAATTTGGATTCTTTAAGGCCTCACAGAGAAACCACAATCCAGCAGCTATGGGATTGAGACCCAGGTCCAAGTTTCTCAGGCTGGAGTGTTCTTGGAGTAGCTTTGAGAGATGTCTGCAGCCACGTTTATTTATGTTGCATTGCTGTAACCTACGGGATAATTGTATAAAAATGCGTCTATTATCCCTCTGCAACTTGTGCCCTGTGAAGTAGTTGTTTCTTCCGAAATCATGCACCTTCTACCTCGAACCACACATTTCCAGGCAGGCTTGTCATAAAAGCATGCACATGGACATGTGGTTGCATTATTTCTACCCTGCTTAGGTGGCAGAGGATCAAACCAGCCTTTGTCAACCACCTTTTATCATGAAGAAACAAACACATCTTTTGAGATATAGGTTTTTCTAGGACTTTAGCCTCTTTGCAGATCAAGAGCTTGGGATTTGGGTCAGACAGAGCCAGGACAGAATCTGAAGCCTCCCTTATTTTCTGTACTGTTAGATCATTGAGATTCTTCTTTCCCTGACTCTTCATCTTTTAAGTTTTATTTTGGATATGTGATAGCTGCACATATATATAGGGTACAATGTGATGTTTTGATATGTTGTGTAATGATCAAGATGACTATAGTTAATGATAGTGTATTAACATACACCCCCATCATTTTGTGTTTTATTTCAAATCTTGGATTAATTGACCCAGCAGAAACATGCTGCACCCAGAAAGGTAAACATTCCTGATAACTCAGTGGCTGTGGCTCTAATGTATACACTGCAGATTCTCCTATAAACTGAGACTTCTACAAATCCTCCAGGTTAGGAGGCCTGACGATAAGAAAGGGTCGGCACGTCACATGCTTAGGCAGGTGGACCTGCAGTCAGCACCAGCAGCCCCATGCCCCAGGGGAGGCAAAACAGCTGCTACTGTGGAACTTGAAGGTGACCCCGAAGAGCAGATAGATGGTAACTAAACCAGAAGATGCCATGTTCTTATGTGAAATCCTAAAGTCATACACCAACCTGGAGAACTTGGGGAAGGAGACTAAAAGTCTAAAATTAAGTTGACAGCCTACGTGACAGAGGCTTAGCCAAACATTGACTTTACATTTCTTAAGTAAAGAGAATTGAAAACTCATCATAGAGTAGACTTCAGACCTGCTGCACAGACGTGACCGTGGGCAAGCCAAGGGGATGAGCTCCAAATCTCTAACTAGTAAAATCACAATAAAAGGTACTTATCTCATAAGGTTGTAAGGGCTCTAAAAATAATGCTTGTAAAATTTAACATAACCTGATTTGCAGTGTTAATAAGCATGCAACTTTTGTCTGTTTAGATGCCTACATGAACTCTAAAATAGGTCCATTTAGTGACATCATATATGAAATTTTATGCTCTAATGAATATTTTCGGTAGAGATATCTTTCCCTTTTTTCTATCTGCCACGAGAAGCTGGATACTCAAGTCTGAAGCGACTGGGACATTAAGGCATATCCTAGAGTAAGTCGCTGGGAGTTTCTAGGGCTCCCAAAGCCACAGTGTGAACTAGCAGACAGCAGGTTTACGGGAGAATGAGAGCCCCAGAGAAATGAACACTGGACAGAATTTCCAAAGAGAAATAGGTCTCCAACCCTATGCAATCTCTTGAGTATTGTCCTAACTATGATCCTCCTATGACCAGGTAGTTCACGCTGGGCTTGTTCCTGTATAACCCTATAAAACAAGGGTCAAACAACAGTCCATGGGGCAAATCTAGCCTGCCACTTTTTTTTAAATAAATAAAGTTTTATTCCTTTACAAGTCAACCACAATAGCAGCCAGAGACCCCAGAGCCCACAGAGCCGGAAATACTTAAAATCTGGCCTTTTACAGAAAAAGGGATTTTACTGACCCCACCTTCTAACTCAACCTATCTCCGATTACGGGAAGTAGGATGTCACATGAATTTTAAGAGCATACACAAAACAGGTCTGGGAACCAATCACCTGTCTCCAATCCCCACAGTAGAAAGAGGATCTGAGGACGTGTGAATATTATAATGACATCTCTCTCCTTGTTTCTACCTGTTCTAATTCTCACCAGGTTCCTTCCAGTTACATTTGAAAGAAATTAAGTACCTTCACATCTGTTCTGCTTGAATTCACATGTGCGCATGTGCATGCACACACACACACACACACACACACACACACACACACACACACAGCCAAGCAGGGACTTACACCAGGGTTTCTAGTTTACAATCAGGGTAACCCAAGCCCTTGCACAGAAGTTTCACTCCAGTATTTCCAAGGTCGTTCTTGGCCAGGCACAGGTACTTCAGCTGCTGGTTGACCACCAAAACAGAAGCAAGTGTCTTGCAACACGCTTCTGTAAGGTGACAGTCCTCCAACCTGCAAAAATGTGAAACAAATGGTGAAGTGGTAAACACACTTCCAAAAATCCAATTTTCTTGGCTATATCCAGATGCAAAAAGACCTCAGCTACATACAGCCCCTCTTGTTAATTCCCTGCCCTCTGTGAGCACGGCCATGAGTGAACAGGAATGAGACAGCCAACACGCACCAGCCACCCTCCTGGGACCAAAAATAAGCAGCAGCAAAAATAAGCAGCGAGAGGTTCCATATGGGCTCTTAGCAAGTCAGACGTTCGTTACCCTTTTCTCTTCTATGGCCCCAGACCTAAAACAGATGCTCCACGGGGAGAGAAGAGACTTACGACAGCCTCTGCAGGAAGCACTTTGGGTCTTTGAAAGTCGTGTGCAGCACCTTGACACCCTCGTCCAGGAGCTCGTTGGCTGAGAGGTCCAGGCATGTCAGCGACTGGTTGATTTGGAGGGCCGAGGAGAGATCGGCCCATTGCTGAGTGGTAACAGAAAGAAATCCCAACCTGCGGGAGAAATAGGAATAAATCATCCTTCCGGGAGGACAGAGAGACCATCAGATCACCCTTCGCTTCCCTGAAGACTGTGTCCTTGGCTTATGTCAATCTGCCGCAATAAGTATGCAACCTGGCCTGAATTATCAGAGATCTGATCTCCTTTGCTTCCTTGGGCATCCCCACAGACATCGGGTCAACATCTAGGCTCAGCTCCAAGAGACTAACACAATTCTGTGTGGAGTCTCACCAACGTGGTTTGCTTAGACTTAAGTACGTGATTCCATGGTTAAAATTGATGTGGTTGTCTCATGGAGGGCAGGCCTATGCAAACCTACCCCAAAGCCCAAGGAAGCCAAGCGACCAAGGAAAGAGGCTGACATTCCCAGTTTTCAGGAAGAATCACTTAATATGGATTTAGGAACAGAAGCCATGTCTTAGGTGGTGGCGAGATGAGATGGGAGATCCCGGAGCCATAACCCTCCCCAGACCCAGGGCTTATAGAAAAAAAAAAAAAAAAAAAAAAAGAATACAAGGTGGGATATTAGGTGTTTCAATCAGCATATAGGAGATTCTATATCAGCCATTTGTCATTTTGGAGCCTCCAAGTATCCATTAGAAACATCTAATCAAGATTTTAAAGCTATGTTTTTTTTCTAATTGAAAGATTATTTTTCTAATTGATAAACTGTTATTGATTTCCGATACATTTATAATTGGTATCTGGTCCCTACACAAAGAAGTTCACAACTCATGTTTCACTCAATTTTTTGTTCTTTTAAAGAGACAGGGTTCTCACTATGTTGCCCAGGCTAGACTTATACTCCTGGTATCAAGCGATCCTCCCACCTCAGTCCCCCATGTAGCTCTCAGCTTCTATGGGGAGTAGCTGGGACTATAGGTCATGTTACCACCAGCTCATTAGATTCTTAAAATCCCATCTTATGGATGAGAAAACAGCTCAAGATCACCTAGGTCTTAATCCTTTCTCTGACATTTAACTCATTTCTAATTCCAAAAACCTGTGCCGCTAGCCAGTACCTGGGATGCTACCCAACTAAGTTGAGGGGAAAAAAGACAGCCTAATGACCACTGTGGTGGCGACACCCAGTTCTCACTTGGAGAGCCACTGGAGGAGAAGGGGATCTCTTAACCAGGGAGCCACCAGGAGCCAGAACACTAGATTTTCCCACAGCATCACTGGGTGGTCTATTGAGGGCAATCACTGCTCTAAACCACACCAGGCAGGCAACATGCAGCCTAGAATATCATGTCCCTAAGCTAGAAGATGGCACAAGATTTCTTTGCATCCAGAGCTAGTTATGCAATGCAGGAGACAAGCTGGCAGGGGAAAAGAGGAGAGCGACACTCCACTCAGGTCTACTGGAGAAACGCATTCCCTGTTCGGCACAGCACCCAGGCAGGGCGGCTGCCTTTGTCCTAGTCCACTCAGCGAGACCACGTGGCTCCCTTCACACACTGGAGACGGCAGCGACTAAGACCCACCTCAGGTGCTGCAGGCTGCACTGCTTGTGTCTGAGGATCTCACACAGCATCGTCAGCAGCATCTCGTCACACTGCACGTGGCCTTCCAGGGTCAGGCGAGTCAAGGTCTTCTTCCCGATGAGAGCCAGACAGAAATCCCGGTAAGCACTGTCAGGGGTGACGTTTCTAATCCTAGGGAGAAACAGGAGGGATTCCATCTCGAGTGTTCAATCCTGTTGTTTAGAGGCATATGTCAACAAAAAGCCGGGTTATGGTTCAGATCTAGAGACCATTATAAATTCTCACTTCAGCCGGGCGCGGTGGCTCACACCTGTAATCCTAGCACTCTGGGAGGCCGAGGCGGGAGGACTGCTCAAAGTCAGGAGTTCGAAACCAGCCTGAGAAAGAGTGAGACCCCATCCCTACTAAAAATAGGAAGAAATTAATTGGCCAACTAAAAATATATAGAAAAAATTAGCCAGGTATGGTGGCACATGCCTGTAGTCCCAGATACTCAGGAGGCTGAGGCAAAAAGATTGCTTGAAGCCAGGAGTTTGCGGTTGCTGTGAGCTAGGCTGCGCCACGGCACTCACTCTAGCCGGGCAACAAGTGAGACTCTGCCTCCGAAAAAAAAAATTCTCACTTCAATTGTTGTCTCAACCTTTTACTGAAGGGCAGCAGTAACGAGCCGTGTTTCATTTCAAACAAGTGCTTCTATGGCTTGTTGGGGAGAAAAGGCAATACGTCACCTTCCCTGCGTTTTGAGAACAAGCACATTCATGAACACATGAGGACATCTCATAAGGACATGTCCCACTCTGAGGTTTAGAATCCCACTGCTAGTGAGACAGGTTGACAAGAGACTCCTTTATCTGACTAATGTAGGACAACAAGATGACATTTCCCAGCTCGTAAGGTAATTAGCTTTACTGAGTCTGTAAGGAGGAACAAAATAGTAACATGGCTAAGTTGTGTTTACTCTGGTTTTGGTGGGGGGTTTTTTTGTTTTTTTTGAGACAGAGTCTCACTCTGTTGCCTGGGCTACAGTGCCGTGGCGTCAGCCTAGTTCACAGCAACCTCAAACTCCTGGGCTCAAGCGATCCTCCTGCCTCAGCCTCCCGAGTAGCTGGGACTATAGGCATGCACCACCATGCCTGGCTAAATTTTTCTATATATTTTAGCTGTCCAAGTAATTTCTTTCTATTTTTAGTAGAGACAGGGTCTCGCTCTTGCTCAGGGTAGTCTCAAACTCCTGAGCTCAAACGATCCGCCCACCTTGGCCTCCCAGAGTGCTAGGACTACAGGCTCACTCCTGTAGGGGTGGGTGGAGAAAGTGGAGATGTTGGTTAAAATACAAACAGTTTCATTTATTTACACAGGAGGAATAAATTCTAGTGACCTGTTGTACGGCATGGTGACCATAGTTAATAATGTGTTTATATATTTAATGGCTAAGAGTATATTTTACATGTTCATTGCAACCAATAAGTATACGGGCAATGGATATATTAGCTTGATTTAATCTTTCCACAGGTTAGACATGTATCTACTCAATAGTACCACATTGTTGTTAATATAAATTTAAAGTAAATAAATAGAAACATTATAATAAAAAAAAGGATACCATCATAGTCAGTATAGTGGTCCACATCTTGGTTTGTATTTGCTTTGACCTACCTTATTCAGACCTGTCTCTCAAGGCCATTGCCATGACAGTGGCTATGAATTCACCATCACTTTACAACATGCTCTTTGCGCCAATTTGACAAAGCGTTCTTCTGGAATATTTCTCTGTTTTCCATCCGGATTCCCCTGATACATCGCCTACATTCTCCTATAGGCTGAGATTCAATATTGCCCCACAGCAGAGGTTTGCAAAACTCCAAACTCTCAGCAAATTTTGAAATGATTTGATGTAATATGATTCTCCCACTAGAATAGTTTAAGATAGGAACCATTTCGTTTCTTTGTTTCCGAGCACTAGTGGTAGCCTGGTCAGGATTCAAATATCGCTCTCATGTTAAAAAGTGCAAGACTGCCAGCTTCAGGACTCCCCTGAAAGATGAGCTTCTTACTAACCACCTTCCTGCAGGTGACAGGCGACAGGGTTATGTGGTCACAGAGAATCCTCACGAGAGGAGTCACTCAGGGAGCTTTGACTCATATCCAGAGAGCTCAGATCCTGTTTGAGCTGACCGACAGACGAATCCCTCCAGAGGCGAAGAGAGTGGCGGTCACATCCCACGCGACTAGGAAAGAACAGACAAGAGCACTTACTGTATACTGTTGTATACAGCAGATCTCTAAGAATACTTCATCTTGTACAGCCAAACCCTACCCAAATAACTGTAGAGTTTGACATTTATCATAAATCTAGTGAATAACACTGTGTTTTCAGTGACTTATTCCTTTTAAGGCATGTCGGTCTAGGGAATTTTGTTTTATTTTATTTATTTTTTTGAGACAGAGTCTCACTTTGTTGCCCAGGCTAGAGTGAGTGCCGTGGCGTCAGCCTAGCTCACAGCAACCTCAACTCCTGGGCTCAAGCAATCCTACTGCCTCAGCCTCCCGAGTAGCTGGGACTACAAGCACGAGCCACCATGCCCAGCTAATTTTTTCTATATATATTAGTTGGCCAATTAATTTCTTTCTATTTATAGTAGAGACGGGGGTCTCACTCTTGCTCAGGCTGGTTTCGAACTCCTGACCTCGAGCAATCTGCCCGCCTCGGCCTCCCAAAGTGCTAGGATTATAGGCATGAGCCACTGCGCCCGGCCTGGGGAAAGTTTCAACCCTTCAACAGACACCAGTTTAAAAGGATGTCAAAGTAGACTCATTAAGTACAGTGCCTGTAGTTAACACTCTTGCATACTCAAACTTACAGTTTTTCATTTCAATCATTCTTCAATAAAATGGTATAAGATTTAGTGATCTACTGCACAGAATGGTAACCATGGGTAACGGATTGTATATTATAAATTGCCAAGAATAGATATTAAGTCTTTTCACCACAAAAGAAATGTGAGGTGATGGATTTGTTAATTAGCTTGGTCATTCCAGAACATAAATATATCAAAACGTCACATTATACCCCATAAATGCAAACAATTGCAGTCAATTAAAAATAAAACATAAGCCAGTTTGCAGTGGCTTATGCCTGTAATCCTAGCACTCTGAGAGGCTGAGGCAGGAAGATCACTTGAGGCCAGGAGTTTGAGACCAGCCTGAGCAAGAGCAAGACCCTGTCTCTACAAAAAATAGAAAAACTAGCCAGGTATCGTGGCATGCAACTGTAGTCCCAGCTACTCAAGAGCCTGAGGCAGGACGAGGACTGTTTGAGCCTAGAAGTTGGAGGTTGCAGTGAGCTACGATTACGCCACTGCACTCTAGCCCAGGAGACAGAACAAGACTGTCTCAAAATAAATCAGTAACACAAAATTAAGCTTTTAAGTTCTGAGAAAAGAGAGAAGAGTACATATAGAAAAAACGTAACATCTGGGGAGGGAGGGAAAATATCCGAAATGATAGAACTCTCTAGGCATACTTAGGCCCATCCCCACACGAGAACTTTAACACTAAAACAAAGTCTGGCTGGGCATGGTGGCTCACACCCATAATCCCAGTGCTTGGGAGGCCAAGACAAGAGGATCACTTGAGGCCAGGAGTTTGAGACCACCCTGGGCAATACAGTGAGACCCCCATTTCTACAAAAAATTGAAAACTTAGCCAGGCGTAATGGCATGTGCCTGTAATCCCACCTATTTGAGAGGCTGGGGCAGGAGGATCCCTTGAGCCCAGGAATGCAAGGCTACAGTGAGCTGTGATCTCAACACTGCACTCTATAGCAAAATGCTGTTCTTTTTTAAAAGTGTTAAAAAAATTTTTTAATTAAAAAGGTAAAACAAGCTCTAATTACAACATGGTGTCTCCTATATCTTGAATGTTAAACAGAATGAAAGTCCAGTGAGCAGGACATTCCGACCCTAAGCCGCAAGGACACAGGAGACTCTGGCCCCTCCCTATCAGAGCACGGGCAGAGGCTGACGGTGGGAACTAGGAGAGTAAACCGAGTTCTTTCTTACCTCTCAAGCTGAGACTGTGGTTCTGATGCAGGATCATTCTCCAGGAATACCCCCTCTGCTACCTGCAGCGAGATTTTCTGTAGGTTTTGACAATGCTTGAGGCAGAAGAAAGAGCACATCATCTCAAATGGATCTGTCACACGGACAGAAACTTCTTGGAAGCGGGCCATGGCATCCTTCACCAGCCCCTCGTCCTGAGACTCGTAGAGGCAGTACAGAAACTCCTTCGTGTCCGTGTCTGAGAAGGGTTTATTCTCATCCAGATTTGCTTTGTATTTCAGTAACTCCTCTCTGATCTTCAGAGACACTCGGCAGCCGAAAGTCATCTCCAACTCCTGGGCTCTCTTCTCATTCGAGAGGCCGAATAAGAAGTATCCCACCTGGATCAGGTTGGGGTTCTTCAGTCTCTCCTCCTTGGAGAACAGCTTCTGCACGTCCCCGATGTCCCGCGTGTGGCTCTCCCAGTCGTCATCGTCGTCCTCCTCCTCCCTCTCCAGGATGTAGAATGTGGCAGCCAGGAGCTGCTGGATGCTCAGGTGGACGAAGGAGTAGCAGCCTTCGCAGTCCCTGCCCTGCTGGAGGACGCCCTTGTCCAGGAAAGGACGCAGGTCGGCCTCCTGCACCCCAAGGCTCCCGAGGTCTTCTGCGTCAAACACCCACGTCTGTGTCCACGTGCCCTGGGCGGCCAGGAGGCACAGGGTCCTCAGCGGGCCACGCAGGTGGTGGCTGGGGCTGCCGCCGGGCGCCGGCATGAACTGGCCACAGAGGAAACGCAGGAACAGCGACGTGGTGGTCAGGCAGCTGGGGGCCGGGTCCTGCTTGCTCTCCATCTGAAGCTTCAGACACGTGCAGATGATCCGGCACACGGCGGGCGCCGCGCTCATGCGGAACAAGGCCGCGTTGCTCTTCACCAAGTCCAAAGCTCGCAGGGCACCATCCTCATCTTCAAAGTGTCTCAAGAAATAGGCCTTCCTGTCCTGCTCCAGGAAGCCCTCGATCTCTAGCAATAGGGGTTGTTCTACCAGGAGCCGGAGCTCCCTCATGGCCTCAGATCGTGTGGTGACCAGTAACATGGCCTTGGGTGACATCTTCCTCTTCAGCAGGCTGCCCAGGAGCACAGGCACTGGCTTCCGCTGCTCCCAGTCGCCACAAATATCTCTGATCAGGGTCCCCTCGGGGACTTTCAGCTCTTCGAAACCATCGATGATGAACAGGATCTTCTGTGCTTGGGCAAGGACCTTGGAGATGTCCTCCTGCCCTGTGGGCTGGTCCTTGGAGATCAGCTCTGCAAAGCTGCACGTGCCCATGCGGCTGAGCTCCCCGCAGCTGAGGTAGAAGGCATATCTGGACGTCTGATTGGGGCTGGTCTCCGTCCAGTCCAGCATCAATTTCTTGGCCAGTGTGGTTTTCCCGACACCTGCAGGGCCATGGAGCACCACCGTGTGTGGTATTGGCTGCGTGGGTGTCTTGGGATGCAAGAAGGGTATGAACTTCTGGCTTCTCCGAGTGACATCATCAAGGAAATAGTCACCGTCTCCCTGCCAAAATTTATTGTTCCAGACCAAACGAGGTTTCTCCACTGTATTTCTATGTTCCCCCATTTTACCTGCAGTGAATGCAATGGAAGAGTTGAGATGCCAACGATTCTATGATACTCATCTGAAAAATACTTTGTAAAGTACCAGAAATAAGGAAAACCACAGAGATGTGATTTGTCTTGCAGGCTCTCAAACACCAAACTTATGACCTTAAGACAGTGTTTACCCACCTGGCTTTTCTACATCCAAGTTTTCTTCTGTGTCTCCAAGTTTTGGGGCATCTATTCCTTGCTCCGGGACACCCTCTACAAAATGCACACAGACATAAGCCAGACAGAGTTACTTGTACTTCCTACATTAGATATTGTTGTAGATAAAGAAAGCTTCAGATATTGTTTTGTTAGAGATGAGATCTTGCTGTGTTGCCCAGGCTGGATTTAAATTCCTGTCTTCAAGCAATCCTCCTGCCTCAGCCTCCAGAGTAGCTGGGACTACAACCATACACCACCATGCCCAGCTAGTTTTTCTAATTTTTAGTTGCCCAGCTAATTTCTTTCTATTTTTAGTAGAGATGGGGTCTCGTTCCTGCTGAGGCTGGTCTCCAACTCCTGAGCTCAAGCCATCCTCCCACCTCGGCCTCCCACAGTGCTAGGATTGCAGGTTATGAGCCACCATGCCTGGCCTCAAGCTTCAATTATGTATCAAGAAATAGAACATACTAGTTTATCTAGAGCTACAGTCCCTGAACCCCAAAGGCCATGGACCAGTATCGGTCTGCAGCCTGTTAGGAACAGGGCCACAGAGCAGGAGGTGAGCAGCAGGTGAGCAAACAAAGCTTCATCCGTATTTCCAGCCATTCCCCATCACTACCTCACCTCCCTGTGGAGACCCTGTCTTCTATGAAACCAGTCCCTGGTGCCAAAAAGGTTGAGAACCACTGACCTAGAGAGAAGTCAGACAACCTCTAAATCAGATACCATGAACTGAATTGTACCCTTTAAAAATTTCCACTGAAGCCCTAACCCCTGGTGTGACTATATGTGATTGGGGTTAGGGCTTTAAGGAATTAAAATTAAGTGAGGTTGTAAGGGAGGGAACAATAGAACCAACATCCTTACAAGAACACAGCTAGAGGGCAGGCGTCTGGAGGCCAAGGAGTGAGGCCTCAGAGCAGACTAACAATAACAGCACCTCCAGGCTGTTGGTGCCCGGTGGTATTTCGTCACAGCAGCATGAGCTAGGGGACACACCAGACTCCCTCCCTCTAGTCTTCTTGCCTTAACATGTTTCTGTAACCCGATCAGAATTTATGCATTCTGAGCTGGGTATGATGACTCACACCCATAATCCCAACTACTCAAGAGACTGAGGCAAGAGAAGTCCTTGAGGCCAGGAGTTCAAGACCAGCCTGGGCAACTTAGCAAGACTCCATCTAATAAACAAAAATGAATTCCTGGTCAGGCGTGGTGGCTCACTCCTGTAATCCTAGCTCTCTGGGAGGCCGAGGCAGGCAGATTGCTCAAGGTCAGGAGTTTGAAACCAACCTGAGCAAGAGCAAGACCCCGTGTCTCTACTATAAATAGAAATTAATGGGCCAACTAATATATAGAAAAAAATTAGAAAAATTTAAAAAAAAAAAAATGAATTCCCTTTCCTTTAGCTGTTTTTGTTTATGTCTACCACTGGGAGAGAACATAAGCATCATTATAGTGGGAAACACTTCATCATAATCAGAGGCAAAAATTAAATTTGTAGAAGGCCGTACAGTAAATATCTTAGGCTTTGTGGGCCACAGGGTCTCTATTACTAAACTGTCATCACAGCCTGAAAGCAGCCACAGACAATGCGTAGACAAATGAGTATGACTGTGTTCCAGTAAAAATTTACAACAGGCAGTGGTCTGTGTTTCACTAATGGACCATTGTTTTCTCAGCCCTGTTCTGCCATATTATTTTCAAAGTTATTTTTTTGTTTTTAAGGAACAAGATCCTGCTATGTCGCCCAGGCTGGAGTGCAGTGGCTATTCACAGGCACCATCATGGCATACTACAGTCTAGAACTCCTGCACTCAAGTGATCTGCCCACCTCAGCCTCCCAGAGTAGCTGGGACTACAGGCTCATGCCACCATGCCCAGCCTGTTCTGCCATATAATAAGGGTACAAATGTTTGATGGCAAGTCACTTAATTAAACTACTACCAGAGGCCAGGCGCAGTGGCTCACACCTGTAATCCTAGCACTCTGGGAGGCCGAGGTGGGAGGATCACTCAAGGTCAGGAGTTCAAAACCAGCCTGAGCAAGAGCGAGACCCTGTCTATACCAAAAATAGAAAAGAATTGGCCAACTAAAAATATATAGAAAAAATTAGCCGGGCATGGTGGCCCATGCCTGTAGTCCCAGCTACTCGGGAGGCTGAGGCAGAAGCATCACTTGAGCCCAGGAGATTGAAGTTGCTGTGAGCTAGGCTGATGCCATGGCACTCTAGCCTTGGCAACAAAGTGAGACTCTGTCTCAAAAAAAAAAAAATTCTCACTTCAATTGTTGTCTCAACCTTTTACTGAAGGGCAGCAGTAACGAGCAGTGTTTCATTTCAAACAAGTGCTTCTATGGCTTGTTGGGGAGAAAAGGCAATACGTCACCTTCCCTGCGTTTTGAGAACAAGCACATTCATGAACACATGAGGACATCTCATAAGGACATGTCCCACTCTGAGGTTTAGAATCCCACTGCTAGTGAGACAGGTTGACAGAGACTCCTTTATCTGCACTAATGGTAGGAAAACCACAAAGACGACATTTCCAGCTCGTACAAGTAATTAGCTTTACTGAGTCTGTAAGGAGGAACAAAATAGTAACATGGCTAAGTTGTGTTTACTCTGGTTTTTGGGGGGGGTTTTTTTTTTTTTGAGACACGAGTCTCACCTCTGTTGCCTGGGCTACAGTGCCGTGGCGTCAGCAGTTCACAGCAACCTAAAACTCCTGGGCTCAAGCGATCTCCTGCTCAGCCTCAAGTAGCTGGATATAGGCATGCACCACCATGCCTGGCTAAATTTTTCTATATATTTAGCTGTCACAAGTAATTTCTTCTATTTTTAGTAGAGACAGGTCTCGCTCTTGTTCAGGTAGTCTCAAACTCCTGAGCTCAAACGATCGCCCACCTGGCCTCCAGAGTGTAGGACTACAGGCTCACTCCTGTAGGGGTGGTGTGGAGAAGTGAGATGTGTTTAAATACAAACAGTTTCAATTATTTACACAGGAGGAATAAATTCTAGTGACCTGTTGTACGGCATGGTGACCATAGTTAATAATGTGTTATATATTTAAAAATGGCTAAGAGTATATTTTACATGTTCATTGCAAACCAATAAGTATATCGGGCAATGGATATATTAGCTTGATTTAATCTTTCCACAGGTAGACATGTATCCTATCACATAGTACCACGTTGTTAATAAATATTTAAAGTAAAATAAATAGGAAACATTAATAAAAAAAAAAAGGATACCATCATAGTCAGCCTAGGTGGTCCACATCTTGGTTTGTATTTGCTTTGACCTACCTTATTCAGACCTGTCTCTCAAGGCCATTGCCATGACAGTGGCTATGAATTCACCATCACTTTACCAACATGCTCTTACGCGCCAATTTGACAAAACGTTTTTTGGAATATTTGTTTTCCATCCAGGTATCCCCCTGACACATGCCTACATTTCCTATAGGCTGAGATTCAAATATGCCCCACAGCAGAGGTTTGCAAAACTTCCAAACTCTCAGCAAAATTTCTTGAAATGATTTGATGTAATATGATTCTCCCACTAGAATAGTTTAAGATAGGAACCATTTCGTTTCTTTGTATTCCGAGCACCTAGTGGTAGCCTGGTCAGGAATTCAAATATCGTTCTCATGTTAAAAAGTGCAAGAAGGCTGGCCACGCCTCAGGACTCCCCTAGAAAGATGAGCTTCTACTTACACCACTTCCTGCAGGTGACAGGCGACACGGGTTATGTGGTCACAGAGAATCCTCACAGAGGAGTCACTCAGGGAGCTTTGACTCATATCCAGAGAGCTCAGATCCCTGTTTGAGCTGACCACAGAGCAGAAATCCCTCCAGAGGCGAAGAGAGTGGCGGTCACACTCCCAACGACTAGGAAAGAACAGACAAGAGCACTTACTGTATACCTGTTGTATACAGCAGATCTCTTAAGAATACTTCATCTTGTACAGCCAAAACCCTACCCAATAACTGTAGAGTTTGACATTTATCATAAATCTAAGTGAATAACACTGTGTTTTCAGTGACTTATTCCTTTTAAGGCATGTCGGTCTAGGGAAAGTTTTGTTTTTTATTTTTTATTTTTTTTTGAGACAGAGTCTCCGCTTGTTGCCCAGGCTAGAGTGAGTGCCATGGCATCAGCCTAGCTCACAGCAACCTCAAACCCTGGGCTCAAGCGAATCCTACTGCTCAGCTCCCGAGTAGCTGGGACTACAAGCACAAGCCACCATGCCCAGCTAATTTTTCTTATATATATTAGTTGGCCAATTAATTTCTTTCTATTATAGTAGAGACGGGGGTCTCACTCTTGCTCAGGCTGGTTTCGAACTCCTGACCTCGAGCAATCTGCCCGCCTCGGCCTCCCAAAGTGCTAGGATTATAGGCATGAGCCACTGCGCCCGCCTGGGAAAATTCAACCTTCAACAGACACCAGTTTAAAAGGATGTCAAAGTAGACTCATTAAGTACAGTGCCTGTAGTTAACACTCTTGCATACTCAAACTTATATTTTTCATTTCAATCATTCTTCAATAAAATGGTATAAGATTTAGTGATCTTCTGCACAGAATGGTAACCATGGTAACGGATTGTATATAAATTGCAAGAATAGATATTAAGTCTTTTCACCACAAAAAAATGTGAGGTGATGGATTTGTTAATTAGCTTGGTCATTCCAAACATAAAATATCAAAACGTCACAATACCCATAAATGCAAACAATGCAGTCAATTAAAATAAAAACTAAGCCAGTTTGCAGTTTATGCTGTAATCCTAGCAACTCTGAGAGCTGAGGCAGGAAGATCACTTGAGCCAGAGTTTGAGGACCAGCCTGAGCAAGAGCAAGACCTTTCTCTACAAAATAGAAAAACTAGCCA